TTTGATGAAAGAACATAGTTCTAGTTCTCAGTAATTTCAAGTCAAAGGATAGGGAGAAAATGAAACATTAATTTGGAGAATTGCAGCCAAATATTTAAGAAAACAGAAAAATTCAGGATCCATTTCAGTTTATGGGTCAAGTATAAAACTCTGAAGACAACAAGGTGAACTAGAGTCTAATATTCATGATTCTGTATTAGTCTATTGAAACACAATTTTCCCTCTAAAATTACCCTCATCTTTTTCAAAGAGCCAAATTGAGACCAATTTATTTACTGCATTACGTCCGGTTTCAATTTGGCCTCATTTGCATAAACACAACAAGAATAGCAACTGATCATATAGGTTCTCTTAAACCTGCCTTACTGGACTATTATAAGGAGTGTCCAGTTTGAGCTTTAATTATCCTAAATTAACTACATGCCATATAGGTGCCACGTAACTGAGTGATGTGAAGGTCTGGTACTGAGTTTCATTTATATCAGCCCATGATTTTAATGACTTGAAGCCAAAAAAGGAACTTTACAAAATATTTATAATCAAATGAAAGAAGTATTTAGTTGACTGTGTTTACCTTTTTTGATACTCATTTTTCAATCTCATCTACCAAACATGCACAGGTTTTTAGTAACTTTTATATAGTAAATTTCAATTTATCCTAATGTCAATAGGCTTTCTTAAACCAATCAAAAGGTGTAACACTTTTATGTTTGTAACAAATAACTTCAAACTCACTGAAATACTTCATTTGGATAATTTAGAATAACTTTGAAAAGTCTCTTTAAGTGTTCAGCTAAACGAGTATTTATAGGTGCTATACTTAATCATTTTTAGCTATAATATCACATGAAGATGAATATTTTATAAAGGTTTATATTCAAAACATTTTCTCTATGAAGTCCCCATCATGAATTTCTCTCAAAAACATGTCCATTTTCACTAATGATAATTTATCTTTAAGGGACAGATTAACTATAATATTTATTTCTAAAAAAGTGCTAGGTAAAATACACCTTTTGTAACAGAAAATGATTTATTCATCTTGGCCTCAGCAGTCTCTGGGGCCTTGATGCACTTATTCTGGCAGCCATTACAGCAACACCCTCTGTGGATTTCAACAAAATTCATGTGGGTACAACCTAACAGGGCTTCTCCTCCAAACCTGGGACTCTCTTTTGATGCTGAGGCTTAAGATGTTACAGGACCTCTGGGCAGTTACACATGCACAAGCCACAAATGCAGAAGAACTCATGGGGTAAACTTTTGTATTAGTTAGAATTTCCTAGAGAAACAGAATCAATAGGGGACGGGGATACACACACACGTATATACATATATATGTATATACATATATGTTGGGGTCCACCCTGCCTGGTTTCAGGAGCTGCAAGCCTCCGTGGCTAAGGCTGAGTGAGAGATCTCTGAACCAGGAGAACGCCTGTCTCTGTGGCATGAGTGCTGCCTGCTCCATGTCTGGCCCCCATTGCTTGGTCGGTAGCCAAAGACGGGTAACATTCCTCAGAGGAGCATGGATCTAAGACAGGCATGATCACGTGGGAAGGCCCTCAGGGAAAGACTCGGGGCTGTGGAAATGAGGGGGTGATCGATCCCCGCCCCTTTGGCTTTGACAAGACTGAGTCTTTATTCTGCCTGTGAGAAATCTAAATCTTCCAGCTGCCTCTGTCTCTTCTGCCCAACTCAGGCCTGTGGCAATTGATAAGGGGCAGTGCAATCCAGACCAGAGACACTGGACCTCCCGGGGTAATTAGCCTGAATCAGAGAATATGCAAGAACCTGTGAAACTTACTTTGCTGGAGGATACTTTTAATTAGAATATGAAGGCATGGGCAGGAAATGAAACTAGCCCTTTAGGTCCTATAGTTTTTAGGTGATAAGACCCCAACTCAGCATGAGCCCTTTTAGCTCTTTGAAAGTTACCTACTTGTTTGATCTTCCCTGCCAGACTGTAATCAACAAACTGTATCTGTATTCTTAATAAAAGCTTGCTCGGGTGGGAAGGCGCAGTGCTCCCCCCTTGAGGGAGTGGCCATTCCATTCCTATTCCTCCACAGGATTTGGTAGTCTGTGTGAATAGATTTCATGTCTCATCCATGACACCTCGGACACTGCAGGCCGGTGTCTGTGTCGTGTGTGTGTGTGTAGCCTGAGAGCTTGAGAGGTGGAGAGCCAGTGGTATAGATTCCAGTTTGAGTCTGAAGGCCTGAAAAACAGGAGCACTGATTGCAGTAGAATATCAATGTACCATCTCAACAGTCAAACAAAGAGCAAATTCAATTTCTCTCAAACTTTTTGTTGAATTTAGGCACTAAAGATTTGATGATGACCAACCAGGCAGAACAGCTGTTTTGTTCAGCTCATCAATTCAAATGCTAATCTCTTCCAGAAACACCTTCACAGACACACCCAGAAATAATATTTAACCAGATACATGGGCATCATGGCCTAGTCCAGCTAACAGATAAAATTAACTGTCACAATCTTTGATTAACAAGATATAACCAGGGATTACTTTACTTGCCCATTTCTCACTCCAAGGGATCAATGAAGAGGAAGATGAAGTTATTTATACAGTCATAGAAGATGATCACATGAGACTAAGCTATGACTTGTGATACTAATGGTGGCAAACTTGTTAATGCAATTTTGCATTGGCTCTGTCCCTGCCACACTGCCCTTTTCTATCACTCCTGGGAGGATTGCATTGTTAGATGAGGATGTAACACATAAGCCTTCCCTTTAGGCTCGGAAAGTAAGCGATATAAATACTTTTCCAAGATACAGTATGAACTTTTTATTGTATAATTATATTCATGGTAACACCTCTAATTATATCATATTTCACATAATAAGGAGATATAATCATCTCCTCTATTCAACAAAGCACATAACAACTGTACTATGTGGTAATATGACTTTATACAAATGTGGGTACCAGTGAAAAAATCTTCCACACTGTGGGACTCTTTTCTCAATTATACCTAACATACTGTTTGTGAAGTGTGAGCATATGACAACAGGTCTGATTTTAGTTAGATCCATATATATAGATCAATATATATAGAAACATAAGTAAAGTTTAATCTATCTAACTACCTATTGAATTGACTATATGTCTTTTCTTGGGGACATACATCTATCTCACTATTGAGACAACTGTTCTAGAAGCTCCAGTCAATGCCTACATTGTAACAATTCTCCCCACAGTAGTGGTGAAGTCATCAGACACCTATGCCCCACAAAAAAGAAGAGAGAGAGCCCAACTGATGGGAAATAATTTTCATAAATTGTGAAAGTTAATTTTAAAACAGAGGATTTTTTTCAATAGTATCTGTGAATTTCTTAGTCAGCATTAAATATAAATTACCAGTAACTGTTCATTATCTCTTAGATTCCATTGGCTAGATAATTTAGTCTTATGCACAAACCTAACTGTAAGGACTGCTGGATAATGTTAAGTGGTTTGTCCAGGAATTAAAGAAAAAGTATGTAGTGAACACAGGTTAGACTTTCACATACCACATCTGTCCAGAAAAAGTCCAGTCATTGTTAATATAATGAGAATGGTTTGTGTGACATCGACGTAACCTGGCAGCCAGGAAGAGTGGATTAGAATGCACATGTGTGAAAAATAATAACTTCACTGTACTAGTCAGTGGGGGCAGTAGATGCCTTTGGGTGAGCATTTCTTTCAATTGATACAGAGACAAAGCAAAAAAAAATCATGGAAAGAAATTTCTACAAAACAATGCAACCTCTTCACAACTTTTGGAAATAAACTCAGTACAAAGTTTTTTTAATAACCCCCAAGTGTTATATTTGTAAGCTAAATATAGCATGCTATAGTAAGAATGCAGGCAAACTATGGCCTGTCTGCATATTAAGATGCTAAACAGAAATACATTCACTTCTTTGACTGATAGGCACTTTCTTCCCTGGTTTTCCATTCTTCAATCCAAAAGTGTATTAAATTCAGAGTTCGACTCAGTTTCAGTTTGTGCTCTTCCACTTAGTAACTGAATTTTGGCAAACTAGTTTCTCTGAATATATTTATTAATTTGTGAAATGAGAATAACAAGAACTGCTTTTCCTCACCAGATGGTTATAAGGTAGAAATGAGATGCAATATATAACAACTTCATAAATCACTATACAGATTGCATTTTTTACATCATTGTTAATGGTGTTAGAATCAGAGTGACAGGGTGTTTTCTTATTTCTGACATTACCTCATGCTCTTGGCCATGGCTGTTGACCTTCAGGGCATTGTGCCAGAGATACCTTTTTGTGTTTTTATTCCGTTCCTGGTTTCCTGCTAGGATATGTTTTTTACTTCTGTTTTTCTTATGCAAAATTTTCTTCTTTAACAAATGCATTTCAGTTTAACAGAGATTTTATTTTTTATATAACTAGAGCTCAGCCATTTATAAATCTATTTAATTAAATTAAACATTTTACTTTAAGATGATTATATAACTTTAAAAGGCCAGTAGAAATGTTTAAAAGGTTTTGTCAAAATAGAAATCCATTGCTGCACCTTAATTATGAAAAATAGATTATTTGGACAAATTTTAATATGGAGAGAAAACATTATAATATAGAAAATAACTAAATTTCATCATATAGTCAATGGTAACCAATAAAATACGTATGTAAACCTATTGACATTATAATCATTATTTTATAACATTAAGTTTTCCATGCCCACAAATGTTCGTTTATTTTCAGATTACTGCTGCAGTTACTGGTTTACTCAGACTTTCCCTAGGAAACAGTCACCATCTGTCTGATTAGTCTGTTTCCTTGGTATCCTGCCCATTCTAGCTATTTAAGTTTCTGCTCTATTTCAAGAAATGCACTCATTAGGATGGTCACATCTGTTATCATTTGAAAAGAGGGGCACATATTCAAAAAACATATAATAGAACCTTGATATCTTGTTAACTATAAACAGGAAATGTCTCCTTCCATCTGATACCTACCTTACCTTCCATGCTAAGAAAGAATGGCATGATCTTTAAGGTCCTTCCTTCAAATACCCTGAATTTAAAATAAAAAGAAGTGCTCAAACAGTAAAATTAGAATTCAAACATTTTCATTATACAAACATTCACAAGCACATGGAGAAAAATTACCATCTGTTAAAAAATAGTTAACTGAATACTAGCACAAAATAACAGCCATATTCCATGTTCTTCCCTATATTATCCCCATAACGAATAGAGTCACTAAGTTATATAATTCCCCTCATTCATTAAATAAACATTTACCAAGTGCTTGCTATCATTAGGCAGCATGCCGGGCTCCCAAACTGCCACAGTAAGTCACAACTCGTGCTTTAAGGATCTTGAGGCCCAGCACAGTGGTTCTGCATTTCCTTTACTTTCCATTTTCTGCTCTATGTCAAAAACCTAACTAGTTGTCTTGTCTCTAAACTCTCCTTACATCTAGTTGGCTCTGCACGCTGCTGCCAGATAAATTCATTCATTCATTCACTCATTCATTCATTCAGTGGTGTCTCTGTTAGGCATTGGTCTAATGCTTAAGACTAGAGCAGTGAAATAGGCAGCCATAGTGGCTGCACTCAGGGAGCATATGTTCTAACGCAAGAAGTAAGGACATTTATAAAAGAGTACGTCATATATCTGGGAGTGGCAATTATAAAGTCTCTTGCTGTCAATTAATCTCAATCTTCATTTGCTCTTAATGCTTAAAATATAAGTTCTTGACATTTAGGGCCTTTCTCAGTGAGCTTTTTCCTCTTTTTCCCTGCTTCCTTTACAAATTATCCCCTTTAATTAGACTAGCCTTCTCAGTTTTTTGTTTTACTGCTTATATGCCCACACCTGTTTTATCCCCTCTTTTCTGGCTACCTTCTTGCTCCCTAAAATTTCGCTGTCAAGTCTTTCCTGGCTAATTCAACCCAAGGTGCTTTTCTCTTATGGCCTTTACATAGTATTTATTAACTATAACCATTATTTTTTAAAGCACATATTTTCTGGTAACATAGTCAGCTGTTTTTCTGCAAATATGTATGCATTTCGTATTTTCACCAGGTCCCCAGTTCCTTTAGGGCAAAACTTTTTTGTGTGTGTTTAAGAATCTTAATTACTAATTTTAAGAAAGATATTGATAAATTTTCCTTCATTCATAATTAATCACCTATTCAGTACATAGTCCCTTTAAACAGTAGTCATTTTCAGATAATCAAATCATTTTATGTACAATTTTCCTCACAGAAAGGAAAGAGTACTTCATGTAAAGAAAAAAAAAGTCACTGATACAAAATTAGGAAGCTTTTGAAAAACAAAAGCTTTGATAAATTCCTACAGAAAGTTTACAAAATTAACAGGACCTTTATGTCTCACCTATCTTTGTATTCTCCAGAGTGCGTGCTTGCAGGAATTTTGTAATCTCAAAGTACCAGGACTTTAACACCATAGTCACTCAGCCTGTATTAAACCTCTATAGTGAACACTAACTATACCCCAGGCACTGTGCTGAGTATTTTATGAATATTATCTTCAAATCTTACCCTCATCCTCTGATAGCCACTATTATTCCCATGTCACTTACAGGAAGACAGAGTTCCATTTCCAGCAACATGGCAATCTATGTCTGAAAAAATTCCCATCACACACACACACAAATGCTGTATAAAATATAACAAGCATACTTTTAAATGTATAGCTGAGCTTGCAATAAAGTAAAGGGAATCCTCAGAGGTCAAACATGAAGAGAAAACTAAGAACTAGAGCTAAAAGTAGGAACTGATGGTGAGGTTGTCTTAGTGTAGTGCATGGGATATGTTCTCATTCCCTGTAAGGGTAAATAAATGGGAAGGCAAGGCTTGGACATCGCAAGGGTGTTAAACTGAGACTCTGCAAAAAGATGGATTCAATGAGATCCAGTGAAAGGGTAGAGTAGAGATAAACTAACTCAGCGACATCAGGAGACAGGAAATCTTGTTATTTCACTGCATTCTGGGTCTGAAAACATAGTCTCTTCAGAATTTGCATCAAGCCCTGACTAGTACAGCATAGCAGGTTGGGCATTGTCCTGCAAAATGCAAGGTCACAGGTTCAATTCCTGATCAGGGCACGTGCCTGAGTTTTGGGCCAGGTCCTCAGGTAGCAACGTGTGAGAGGCAACCAATAGATGTTTCTCTCACTCTCCTTCCTCCCTTCCCCTCTCTCTAAAAATAAGTAAATAAAATATTTTAAAAATTATTTGCTTCAGAGAAGCATTCAGATTTGAGATTAGAATTTATACTCTCTTTGTACATGGAAACCTTTAAGACAAGAAATTCCCAGCCTCAGGGTCAACTCTCTGCCTCTTACTGATCTAAGACTTATTCTCCTCTCCTTGTATGTGCATTAATATCAAAGTTAATAATACTCAGGGAGAAACTTGCAGAAGCAAACACCAAATTAGTCTGTAAAATGATTCTCTTTATCCTTGGCAATTTTCTTCACTTTGGAATCTATTTTGCATGTTATTAATATAGCCACTCCAACTTTGTTTTGATGAGTGTTGGCCTGGTATATCTTTTTCTATCCTTTTACCTTTAAACTGTGTCTTATTATCTGAAGTGAGTTTCTTGGATCACTAGGTGCTTTTTTTTAAAATCCAATCTGTCAATGTCTGCCTTTTAATTAGTGCAGAGGGTACCCTCACAAGTCTCTGAATCTCTCTCTCTCTCTCTCTCCCCACCTCCACCTATCTCCGTATCTTTTGTCCTTGATATTCTGATTTGTGAACTCCAGCCTCCTTAGCCTTTCCACATTTCCAGTTCCATTTTCTCACCTCAAAAAAAAAAACAAAACAAAACACAACAACTTCCAGGCTTCTCCTGTATACCCTTTCCCTGGAAACCCTTAATCATGGACCTCACTTCACTTCATTTGTTTTCTGTCTTTCAGGGGTCATTGTCTTTGTTGCTTAATATCTGTTATTTTTAAAAACTGTGGCTTATATATCTTGTATAACTTTGTATATCTTATCCAGATTTTTAGTTGTTTTAAGCAGGAGGGTAAATATTCCTGTTACTTCATCTAGCCTACATGTGAATGTACAAACCATTGCAGAATGACACATCATGCAGAATTCTCACAAGTAAATCTGTGATTAAAATGCTCTAACAAATCAAAACACATGGGGAAATAATCCATCATGAGTTAAGTCAACAAACACAACAAACAATATAGTTAGACTCCAAGAAATTTAGAAAGTAGAATTATTAGATATTGACTACAACATAAGTATGTTCAAATGATTCAAGATTTGTATATATGTATTTGTGCGATATATATACATATATACATACATATGTATATACATAAAAAACAAAAACTAAAACCCTGACATACTCAAACAGTACCAGGTAATTTCTTTCCATTATATATGGAAAGCAATGAGGGCTTTCCATATATAATGTCTTTTGACTTAACATTCAGTAGTACTCAAATCATTGATCATGAAATTAACATATCTTTATAATGGTGATCTTAAGGAGAAGCATTAACATGCAGGCTTAGACTAGCCTAAGTGAAGCTCATTTTATTGAACTCAAATGAATGAAACTGGCTTACTTTATTTCAACTTCAGACCCATGTCAACTTGGAAACACATCTAAAATAAACAGGTATGACTCTAAAGTAAATTAGACATATTCCAATCATCCTTCAAAATATCATGAAAATCTTTTCCCATCTTCCTTTTCCTGAAATTCATTTCTGTCATTGCCTACCAGTATAAAACAACAAAAATCCCCCTTCCCTACCTTCATAATTTTTCTATCTGTATTTTCTACTGTTGCCACTTCTTTATTATATAAAACAATTCAGTCTTATTCAAGTTCCTTTTTACAACTTTGTGAGGTACTTGAAAACAATTTTGATTTATGATTTTTCTCATATCCCACTCCACTGTCTTTTTTTTTTTTAAATCAGAGATGAAGAAGAGAAGGATTTAACTTTTGGTTTGAATCACCCACAAGAGAGATCTGGCTTGGTAACAAACTACACCACATTCACCAGCCCTTTCCTATTGTTCTTTTAATTAATTAACAATTTTGCAGAAGTGAATCCTGATAAAAAAATGAAGCTACATGAACGGAAAAACTTGAGTGAGAATTCAGTAGAAATGTGCTTTTAATGAACATCAAGCAGTTTCAGTCTTAGTTCATTTCAAATCAGAGATTATTTGAATCTTAGAAATAATATAGAAATCAGAGGTTTTATATACATACATTTGTAAATATATACACATATATATTTGTTTATTTTTTTATCTCAGTGGTTACTAATCAAAATGGCATACTATTTTCATTTTAGATTCTAAATATGCCTTAACAGCATAGAACTATAGTGAAGAGAGAGACCCTTTGTTCACAAAAGAAATAACAAAAAGCTACAAAACTATGACATAAGGTCCTAAAAGTTGGGGTGTGATATTGACTCATAAAAACTAGTCAGACACACTGATGGAGTATTGTAATACAACTTCAGTTGAATGGAAAGACAGTTTGTTTAGAGAACATTTGATAGATGTCTTCAGACCCATTTTGTACTGTCTTCCTTTTAGGCTTTTCCTTCCTCTTGGTTAGTCAAGAATTATTTCCAAATGCTTGAAAAATGATAACACTTTATTCCCAGTTGCTGGTTGATATGAATGAATCTCTCTGAAATCAGCCCTTCTCATCTCTTGCTAGAACCTCCTCCCCTATTGTTTGAAGGATCTTTATACAAAGTAATAGATAAATAACTAGTATGTGTGTAAAATATCACTCTTTTCATTGGGAATTTTTCAAACATACTTAAAAGAATAATGATTAGGATAATAAACCTAGAAGTACTAGCATCATACAGCTTCAACAAATATTCATGTTTTGTCAGTTTTATAATAATTTTTTCTCAAATTTGTTAATAGGGATGCATATTATTTTAAAGGGGATCTTCCTGTAAAGCTGTGTCCCTAGCCTAGATAACTGTAAATGACTGTATTTTTTGTCTCTATGTAAAGAGAATCATGATCTATCCAGAGGAAAGGGGATACATGAAGCATATTTCCTCTATAGAAAGGAGTGATTCCTTACTTTGTTAAAAACAGAACATTTGCCCTGGCTGGTGTAGCTCAGTGGATTGAGCGCGGGCTGCGAACCAAAGTATCACAGGTTCGATTCCCAGTCAGGGCACATGCCTGGGTTGCAGGCCACAGCCCCCAGCAACCACACATTGATGTTTCTCTCTCTCTCTCTCTTTCTCCCTCCCTTCCCTCTCTAAAAATAAATAAATAAAATATAAAAAAAAAACAGAACATTTAACTACAAAAGACCTCTATTTAACTTTCAAAAAGTGTCATGCCAGAAATGTCTTTTACATGAAAAAAATTTCCAACAAAATTTTAAATAAATCATCACACTTCACATTTATTTATTCAAGTTTCTCTTTTTCTCCTTGGTATTTTCACTTGACAATTGATGTTTGTGTGAGGTGGAGAAAGGAGGAAGTATTTCAAGCAGGTTGTTTTTGAGCTCCCATTATCCAAACTTTTAAATATAATAGAAGATTTCCCTGAATGTCAAAGATAATTGAAATATGAGAGTGCTAATGTTACTTCCTCCTTTTAATGTCTACTCTACGAGACAAAGGTTTTTAAAAAGGATTATAAATGTGTAATGGGAGAAAAAGCAAAGTAAGGACAATAACTGAGTGCATGAATGGAGAAAGTTATATTTAGAAAGAAAAATGTGGATGACTACTTCACTCCTTATACTAAAATAAATTCCAGATGAATTGAGGATTTAAATAACATAAAGACTGAAACCACCAAAGCACCAGAAGATAACTTGGGAGACTATCTCAAAATAGCTATATAATAGAGAAGGTCTTTTTAACTATGACACAAATCCAGACCCCAGCTGGGTAACATGGCCATGTTTAGTCACAAGGGTTGCTGGGGATTAAGCATCTGCCAAAGGGAAGAGGATTGTTAAAGATTGGCTTGGAGAAGTAAGATTTCATTGCTCAAAACTGGACACACTGTCGTCCTGAACAAAATCAAGACTCAGTTAGCAAGGAAGAAGGTGGGAAAAGATTTATGAATAAACAACTAATAAGATCTGCCATAAAGTCACTGTGTCCTTTCCTTCCAGAATCATGAAATCTTGTCATAGCATTGTCTAATTGTATCTTCTCTTAACATTTTATTTTAATTACAAAAGTAAAAATAAATGCTAATATATCAGAAATTAACCAACAATATAAATTATAAAATATTTGCTATAACACAATATAAAACATTTACAAATACTCATTTTGTTATAAAAAGCATATAACATAGGCTTAATTAAAAACATATTTACCTAGTCCATATAAAATGAAAGAAAATATTATTATTTTATCAATTTATCAAAAGAGGAAAATCTCAAATTAATTTAAAAATAAAAATAATTACTATAAGGGACAGCAAATTGTTTTAGATGAAAATGAATCACAGATTTTTACTCAAAACTTTTCTTCACACCAGGTGGACAATATAATATGAAGTCTTTATAGTTCTAAAATATAGAAAATAATAAGTATAATTATGTAATCTTCCAATAATTATTTAATTAGGCAATTTATTCCTGTGATGTTATGATGATTGGTTTAGAAGAATGCTTTAAAAAGCTAAACATACTTATACTAAGAATAAAGATTATATAACCAGCATATTGTCTATAGCCTTAGTCAAAAAGTTCCAGGAAATAATCATCAATAAAAAATGCATTTAAGAAACTTCAGGCCAAAATCATGTCATGGTTTGGTTAATGCCAAGTCATAAAACACTGAGTATTTTACCTGAGGAAAGCACAATTTTAAACGAGTCAGGCTATGTGCGTAAGTCATAAATTTTTAAGTGACTAGAAAAATAATCTGGCACTGTATTTTTCAACCTACTTTATTTGCTTTGATCTTTCAATAAAAAATCCTTGACATACTCTTCTAGTTGGTTCAAGCATTTCCAAAAATACAGAAATTTAAGACATAAATTTCTATATGCTAAGACATAAAAAGTATTTATAGCAAATAACAGTACAAATTCAGAAACCCTCATTCCCTTTAGGATTTATTAATAAGCAAAGGAAATGTAGACTGGCAAAACTGAAAATATGAAATTTCTTCTTCTCCAGGGTATTTGTTTTTGCTCTTAAGGCCTTCAACTCATTTGGATGAAGCCCACTCACATTATTAAGGGTAATCTTTACTTACAGCCAACTGTTAACCACATCTTCAAAAACCTTCATAGAAACACCTAGATAGTATTTAATTAAATAACTGGGTAATGTAGTTTAGCTAAATTGAAACATAAAATTAACCATCACAGACAGAAAAAGGTGGAAGAAATAGTTAATATATTGTTTTGCATAATGTGGATTTAAAATTTTTTTCTGAAAGCTTTAAATATTAAACTCAAACTAAAAGAATGCACTTGATTAAATACTATGAGTTTCACCATCACTGGGTAGACTCGATTTGATGAATATTTATAGGGAAAATATTTCAATAGTACTACTTGTAAACTCAATGTTTTTCCACAATGGGATGTGAACTGCCATTAATCCTATTTCCTTCCTTCCTTCCTTCCTTCCTTTCTTCCTTCCTTCCTTCCTCTCTCCCTCCCTCCCTTCTTTCCTTCTTTCCTCCTTCCTTTGTTTTTCTATTCTTCTTTCCTTCCATAAAGATGTATTGAGCACTTACTATGTGGCAAATACTGTCTCAGGTAAGCACAATATGGCAGTTAATATAGTAGAAATCCTGCACTCATGAAGCTTACAATCTACTTATGGAGGTAGACAAGAAATAAGAATACAAATAAAAATATGCCCTAATTGCCTTGGCCTGGTGGCTCCATTGGTTGGAGTATTGTCCTGTACACCAAAACATTGTGGGTTCTATGCCCGGTAAAGGCACATATGTAGGTTGTGGGTTCAATTTCCGGTCAGGGCATATACAGGAGGCAACCAATCAATGTCTCTCTCTCGCATGAATGTTTCTTTCTTCCTCTCTCCTCCTTCCTCTCTCTCTGAAATCTATAAACATCTCCTCAGGTGAGGATAAAAAAATGCCATAACTTCTGGCATAGAAAACCACTAAGAAAAAAAACCAAACTGTAAGTGGAGGCTTTTCATGGTTAGAGTGGCTTTTTGAGGACATGACATTTGAGCAAACTTCAATGAAGGAAGGAAGCCAGGCAAAAATACTTTTGTTGAAAAGTATTTTATGCTAAGGGGATGATAACTCAAAAGACTCTGAGATAGTAGGATTCTTGGTGTATTCAGGAGACAGCAAGACATTCAGTGTGACAGGACTATAGTAAAGGGTGGAGATGTGTGGGAGGGCCTGAGGTTTATGAGAGAGACAGAAGCCGCGTCATCTAGGGCCTTCTAGATCATGGGAAGAAGTTCCCACTATATTTTATGTGATAGGAGGATTTTAAAAAGGAATGTGAGGTGATTTGATTCACATTCTACATTCCAGCTTATGTATATAGAATGAACAAGAGTAAAAGTAGAAGCAGAAAGACTGTTAGAAAATACTGTTATAGAAGTCTGGGAAAGAGACAATGGTGGCTTGTACTGGGGTGGTAGCAAATAATATTGAAATGCAGTCAAATACAGGATAGATTCTGAAGGCAGCACTGACAGGATACACTGATGAATTAAATATGGGGTGTGAGAGAAAGAGGAATCAATGATGTTACTTGGGTTTTTGACCACTAGAGGACTAATGATACTATTAGCTACATGGGGATACTTGGGGAGGAGTTTTTGTTGTAATAAATTTAAGATTTCTATTTTAGACATGAGATATTTGAAGGGAGGTAGCAAGGAACAGTTTGAGCTACGAGGCTGGGTTGGTGATTTTTTAAATTTATTTTATTTTTATTGAATATATTGGGGTGTCATTGGTTAATGGAATTATATAGGTTTCATGTATACAATTTATAAAGTACATCATCTGTATAATGTATTATGTGTTCACCACCCAAGTCTGGGGTTGAAGATATTAATTTCGGAGTCATCTGCATGTATACACTATTTAAAATCATGGATCTAGATTAAGTTATTTTGAAAGAGCAGTAGATAGTGAAGAAAGTCAAGGGTTCTCATAACATTCAGAACTTTGGAAAATGTCTTGGAGTACTTACTAGTTATCTTCAATATAAATATGTTCAATTTGTATGTTCATGAATTAGGACCAGTGTGAAGAAGTTACTAGGAGCATATTTCTGCTCAGTAAAGGGAACCACTTTTTAACACTAATAGCTAATGCCTAATCTTATGAACATTGATTGACAGAAAATGTTCACATTTTCACCAAGTCACAGCCTTTCTACAAAGGCCTTTTGAATTGGATAGGACTTATACTGGATGAACTCCAATGTCCTTTTCAAGATCTAGGACTTATTGTTCATCCTTAAACTTTTGTTTTCATGATGGTCTTCTTTATTTAACAGTTTCAGCAGCTGCCTATTTGCCTCGAGATCAAATTCAAGTGTCTCTAATGAGGTTTTAAAAACAGTACTTTGTACTTTATCTTTCTTTCTGAACACAAATTCTCTGCTCTAGTAAGTCTGGCTTCTTCCTTCTCTACCACAGAAAACTGTTCATCATGTATTCTTACCTTTATTTATCTCCTTGCCTGGATATCTGGTCTCTCTTCTTTCCCTATTAAAGGAATTAATAGAGAAAGTTAATAGAAGCTTAAAAAAAAAGAGCATTGTTCCAGGACACACTCTACCTGATGCTTGAACTGCCATTTCAGTAATCTAACATGTTAACTCATGTTAATGCATGTTAACAAATATTGAATTTTATATTGTAGTATATTAGTTACCATTTCATAAGTGCATAATTCATCCTTCTTATTCAACAACACTGCTTCATTGCAATAAATACAATTGTTGAGCTCCTACTTTGTTCCATTATCTCGAATCCTTATGAAAACCTCCTAAATATAGGTAGTTGTTGAAGCTGTCAGCACCCTACATGTATTTCCTTGTCACTTAACATTGTGGCGGTGCATGGCCATGGAACATTCCCTTTGACTATTTGTTTGGGAGCTTTCTCTTGCCTGTGAGCACATGGCACTTCTCAGAAGTGTAGGCAGTTAAAGAACTAGGAGCAGCCTTCACAAAAGATGGAAGGAAGTTGAAGGATAAGTGTCCTCAGCTTCCTCACTCCTCATGTAGGATAACTGAGACATGATTAACTGGGCTTTCCATAGTTCCCCCATGGAATTCAGCTCCCCACCCCTTACCTGCGGTGACTACCTATTTAATAAGAGACCCTTGATTTGTTTCCTTCCCTGTCTCCCTTCCCCTCTATGCAATGGAGCTTCTTGAGATCACCACCAATTTACAATCCATTCAGGTCTCAGGGTCTGCTTCTGGGGAAACCCAACCTAAGCCAATAGGTATTTGTTATCCACACAGTTAACCTATGTGAAACTGAGACTCAGAGAGGTTAAGTAACTTCAGTTGAGTAACAAATCTAGTAGTGGCAGAGGAGGGATTTAAATACAATCTTCCTGTTCCTGCATCCCAGAGTTGGAGCTGATTTAGTCTTCATTACTATGCTGCAACACTCTGTGAACATTCAACAAAGATTCCATCAAGTGACTATAAAATCTTGACAAAAAGATTTCAATTCAATTTAGTCTTTCTTCCTCTAATATAATCTATCTTAGTGTTAAATGCTGCATTTATTTATGTGGCTGGTTGGTTAAACATCTTCCTCATTCTAAACTGTATGCTCCATGAGGGCAAAACAAAGATCATGCACTTTGGCCCATCATTGTTTCCCTGACACTTTAACAATTGTAGGTGGAAGCAAAGAAGTAGTGGAAGCCACAAGGAAGCAGAAATCATGCAGTAGAGTGCTGTGGAAACAGGGGTGTTTGGTACTGGGGGTAGAGTGAGAACCAATAGAAGTGGTAGTTGTGATGAGCAAAGAAACAGAACAAAGTAGTGACAGAGTACTTGAGTCATGTAAATGGTGCTGCCACTAAAGGAGACAATAACACAGTTCCCATTCTTCAGACATAACCACAAGCATGCTTGTTAGTTCCCTAGAGCTGCTTCTGGATCCTGAACAGTAAGATATTATGGTTCCCTATAAGACTAGACATTTTATTGTGGGACACTTTTCTCATCCCATGTTACCTCCTCAGGAATTCTTATTATAAACCTTCAACACTTCAGCTGAGTTGTCTGCACCTTTGGAACTCAAAAGCTTACAGAGCTGTCAATTGAAAAAAATACTGTCATATTTTTTCAGAGTTGTGAAAGAAACAATGGACAAGAAAGCACTTTGACAGATTAAAATGTTCTACAAATTCAAGCCATGGCTTTTGGACTGCTTTTAATAAAACAATTATCAAATTATTTCTTCAAAGACATTGTTGTAATATTCATGACATTTTTTCTTGAATATTTCCCATTTGGTTATCCATAGGGTATTTTACGTCCAATATATAATCACTTTTGCTTCTATTATACTCTGTATTATCTAGCTCAAAATACATGTTAAAAGTGACAGAAAATATATTTAGAATCAAGCATTAAATAGATACAGAAAATCACTCCCTCTGGTCAGCACTGCTCCTGTGCTAATATGTAACACTGGGAAATGATGAGTTCTCACCCCATTCACACCATGACTAACACTGAATGAAAGTCTTAGCCATTTGTGCTAAATAGCCTTAATAGATCATAGAGTAGGATACATTAAACATAAAATGGCTCTAATATAGTAACATTCCAAAGTACTTATATTTAAGATTTTATTTATTTATTTTTAGATAGAGGGGAAGGGTGGGAGGAGAGGGAGAGAAACATCAATGTGTGGTTTCCTCTCATGTGCCCTCTACTGGGGACCCAGGCATGTGCCCTAGACTGGGAATCAAACCAGCGACCCTTTGGCTCACAGGCTGGCGCTCAGTCCACCAAGCCACACCAGCCAGAGCCCAAGGTACCTATATTTAACAGAAATAAGTTACTGTCAGGTCCAAGCCCATACCCCCTTGACATATACCTGTTCTGTGCATGCAATGGCCTCTCACTGCAAACACCAGTAACTTTCTATCTGAGGGCTTTCTCTAGCCATGGGAGCTGCCTGCACACAAGGCAGTGCAGAAGTACTGCAGACAAGATGCTTCCAGTACTAGCCCTCAGCCAATGACAAATGGGAGCTTATAAATAAAACCAGTTTCTTTGTCCCTCAGGTGTGAAAACTCTCAGGCGGGGTCTGTGCTTTCTCCCAGAGCTCCCAAGAGGATTGAGCCCCAGTTGCTCTTACCAATATCCTGCTCATTAACACATACTGTTTGGGCTTCCTTCCCTCCCCTATTGTCCTACTGAAATTTCCTGGGATCACATCCCCTCAAAAAATGACTTAACATTCAAGTCCTAGTTTGAGTCTGTTATTCTGGAAACTCAAACTAAGATACCTGGTCTGCAAACCATGGCCAACTTTTTAATAACTCCATGGAAAATGAAAAAGAATAATATAACATGATGCATGAAGATACACTTATGAAGATACACTTTTATGAAGATACACTTATGTAATTAACATTTTTAAAAAAATTTGGAATTGTTCCTTTGCCTTTTCTTTTTTCCCCCTCCCTTCTTTTGTCTCAACCTCTGTCTCCCCTTTTTTTCTATCCTTCTGCCTTGAGATGACCTTTCCTTTTATAAAATTTAAAATTGAGAAATTCATAACAATTGTCTCAGTTTTTGCTGAAGTCTGGAAAATCCCAAAATTTGAAAATTACTACTTTACTACATGTTATATTTCATTGCTATTTTAACAATTAGATAAAGAATGAAGAGAAAGTTAAAAAATAAAATGTGTTAAAACAACAGGCAAAGTTGAAAAATTCTTCAAAGTAACATATGGGTTGAGAAAAAATTGTAATTAGAAATATCTTAAGAAGGTAGTTTCAGTTAATTTTTAGTAATGTTATATAAATCACAATTTCTTCTGATGTACTTAAAACTGTTACTGTATTTCTAATTTTCTCAAATCAAGGCTTCATTTAACTCTTTCATTGTGTAGATATTTTGAAGGCTATTAAAGAGGCTTGTGTATTAAAAGTGCTAACTGATTTTAGAGGTAAAGGGGTTCCCAGGAGACTCTCAGGTAGAACTAAGAATGCAACCTGAATTAGAGACTTTCCAGGACAACTGAGGTAAAGAGATCAAAGGTTAGTTGGATTTCATTACTCTGCTTCACATGATGTTTCAATTGTTGCTGACATAGTCAAAAATAGGAGTGAAATTATGAGAAAAATATGGACTGGGGTCCTCCTCACCCTGACTCCCCCATTTCCCTTGACCTAAAAGCATTGCACTTGCTTTTTTCTTTTACTTCTACCGTGAACCACTACCATTGAAAGGCACCAAGTCATAGAAAGGAAATAGAAATGTTCCTGATCAGAGGAAAACAGTAGGCAAAGAAAAACAGACTGGAAATAATGAAGGGAGAAAATTTCAAATAGAGACTAATGAAAAATTAGCAAAATAGAGATAAGAATAAGGGTAAACTAAATTATAAAAACACATTTTTCTACTCTTTTTTCAAGAGAAGACATATTTAGATCCAATTGCTTTAAGCGCCTTTAACCATATATAAGTTTAGATGTTCTAAGAGGACTCCTGATTATTTTTTGAATTTTATTCTACAGCCTTAGAGATTGGTACTATTCTTTATTTCTACAGGGTGCTTATAATTTTCATAAATCTTATTTGGTTGTTATGCCACATACAGAAATCGCTGCAAAAATATTTACTTTTTCATCAAATAATTTCTTTTAATCTGTACTTCCTCAATCTTATTTTCTCAAAACATCTCTCTAATAAGGAAATCTGTGGTCTTATGGGTTTAAGATGAGGTCAACGAATGCAGTAGGAATATTAGGGGTTAGGAATAAAGGCTTTCTTTCAAATTTGGGGGCCAATGAAACCTTTTGACACTATTTAGATACACTTAGAAGCCTACCTGTACAACTAAGTATGAAACACAATTTGGAATTCTTCAAACACAGCTAACAGTGCTTTAACATTTCTTTATCAGTTTTCTGTTTAGAAGCTATTCATACATTTGCTTGGAACACCTTGAGTGTCTCTAAAATTGAATTACTGACTCAGAATTACCGTTCACATACTGAGGTATCAAAATACTTCAGAATGTATTATATTCATATTTGGGTTGCCAATAAAATCAGAATGAACCTAATTCACATTTTTAAAATTAAATGTTCAAATTCTTTTTACCCATCAGTCTTTGTCCAGCATTTTTGATCATTTATTCTTCATTAAATACTATATTTAATTCAATATCTGGAGTAATTTTCCTTAAACCAAAGATATTAAAGATTGTTTTACTAAAGGTAAAAGCTATTTTGAATTTTCCTCTTTTTTTTTGTATATTGTTCCGTTTTTAAGTACCTCCCTGTTTATTATCTGTGAATTTAATTAACAGACTGTTTACTTCCCTTTGTTAACTGATGTTATATAACACCACACCTAACACCAATTCCTGCAGAATCCCTGTAAGGCCTTTCTCCACATAGACATTTCATAGTTTTTTATTTTTATTTTTTTATTGTCCTTCAGTTTTTGATTTATGAAACTTCAAGGAATACATCTATGTCAGGATATTCAGGGGAGGAAAAAAGGAAAAACACAGAAGTAGAAATTGAGGGTGAAATTAGCAGGACAAAAGAAAACAAAGCTATACATAAGACAAGCAAACAGACAATCAAGATGAGTAGGAAAAGAAAAAAAGCAATAGACAAAAGTAAAGAAGGTAGAAATATTTAACCCTTCTGGAAAAAATAAAAAGTCATTGAAGATAGAGTGATTTGAGATTAAGGAAGTACGTAAAGAAGAGTAAAAATCAAAACCTAGCTTTGTCAAATAAAAGGAGTAATTTGAAAATATCTCATCAGAACTAAAGTGAAAAGGACAGCATAATTGAAAGATTGAATATAAGGCAAGAGTAATATAAGATTGATTTGCAAATAGACTTTTAATGGTTCTTCCCTACCAGTTGAGCAATTCATGGCTGAAGATGTGAGTTGATCTATTCCACTATTTTTTAAAAGGATGGAGAGTTGGTCAAAGCAGTTGGCAAGGTTGTCAAGTTAGCACTGGGATAGGCAGTAAGAAAGACCACAGGTTGTATTTGCAATAGAGAATTGTAGTATTATAATATTATAATATTGTAGACACATGTGCTAGAAAACAATATAACTCAGTATCAGTAATTATTGGTCTTTAATTGTCAAAGAATTTTTAAAAAAAGGGTAAGGATGTAATTCTGCAAATTAGTGAGCCTGACCTGTAATCCTAGGCAGCATACAAGATAGTGTGTGAGCACTTAGGGAAGAGAGAGCAGTGATAACCAAGAGCTGCTGATAACCAGCCAGTCCAGCCATTCAAAGGCTGATAGTGCTAATTGGGGTGGGAGTGTTGGAAGTTAGGATGCTAACACACAGTAGGTTTTCCAACACAGGTTACATGTAAATTCGTTGCCACTGCGTGAAACAGGTACTCTGATGGTCTAACTTTGAGAATCTAAGTTTTAAAAGAAAGCGTTTTCATGTAGGCCACTGTAAAACTTCATTATTCTCTTTAATATGGAATTACTTCATTATTCATTATTCTCATTTCCTAACCTTCTTTCCAATAGTACAGAGCTTGGTAAGCCAATACCTACATCTCTTACCCACCTACTTACTGAATGACATTAAGTTGGCTTTCTTACCCATTTTTATCTTTTTTTAAAAAGACTTTATTTGTTTTTAGGGAGAGGGGAAGGGAGGGAGAAAAGAGGGAGAGGAACATTGATGTGGGAAACACGATTGGTTGTCTCTTGCACACCCCCATCCGGGGACCTGGCCTGGAACTCAAGTGTGTGCCATGATTGGGAATAGAGCAGCAGACCTTTTGGTTTGCAGAATGGCAAACAATCCACTGAGCTACACCAGTCAGCGGCTCATTTTTCTTTCTTTCATAACCATTTATAGGTATTATATACCTCCTTCCTGATTAGCATACTGTATAGTATAGTAGTTCTTAAATGTGTCAATTTTAGGCTCATTAAAACATCGCAGCAGTTTTTTCTAATTCAGAGGGTCTAGGATGGGGCCCAAAATTTGCATTTCTAATAAGGTACTAAGAAAATATGATTAGCCCATCCTCATTTTCTCAAATGGTACGAGGCATAAGAGGTAAGTGTAATGAAGGAGTACTCAGAACTACTGTTTGATCAAGTTTGTTACTGATTTGGTAAATAGGCTTATTCAGATTTCTAAAGAAGAAAATGTCGTGCATGCACCTTGCTACCACTTTTAGTGGTCTTTTGCTTTTTTTCTTGGGCCTCTATTATAGACCTTTCCTAGCCTCAATGTGCTCCTATGTTTGTTTGATCATCCTTATTAGAGAAAATATTGATCTCAAAGATCGATATTTAATGTATTTAATGTGCGATTCTTTCTGGGAGAATTTAAAAGATAAGAACAATATATAAATCCATGAGGGCAAATTACTTATACTGTAATTTAAAACAAAAGGAATAATTCCCCCAATTCTGCATACAATCGTTTTTCTATATTCCAGTATATAAAAAAAAAAAAAAGCCCATTTCTTTGGCTATATTAAGGGTGAGATTTCAATTTATTGATAATGTTTGAACCAATACATAACTGACGTTTGTCGTGTTGAGGGTGCTGTGTGTATGTAACATGTGCATTGTAGTGCATGCCCTACTGTCTTTTTCACATGAGGAAAAAAATTCATTGGTGTCCTATGCGGCACCCCTCCTCTCCACATTTAATTAGTACCTACAGATTCGCAATGGCACAGGTGTGTGTGTGTGTGTGAGAGAGAGAGAGAGAGAGAGAGAGAGAGAGAGAGAGAGAGAGAGAGAGGAGGGGGCGTGTTGTGGTCGGTGAAGAAAACAATACGTATATACTTGTAGAAATCTGACTCCACAACCATTGTATCAAAATTCTCAGCCTTCCCCATATGGCACCCCTTTATCTGTTTCGTTTTCTGGAGTTTTAGAATCTACTGTTTCATTGTATTTCTTTTAGTTTGTAACAGTCATATAGTGATTTATATTATGCAATGAAAACATTAATAGTACTGCCTCAACCTTCGAAGCAACCTGCAACCCCTCCTACCCCGGGCCTTGACCATTAGGTTTCTGCTTCGCCGAGTAAGGGTGTTTTTTTTTCTACCAGTCAGGAAGCAGGGCACTGGCTTCGAGGCATCTTCCTTTCCTTTTCCTCGTTCCTTCCTACCACTCCTATATCCCTTTCGGCTCTCAGGTTTTCACAGCACCCGGCGACAGCTTGCTTAGGTACCCAGTCCTCCACTTCTCCTCCGCCACACCGGCCCATCAAAAAATCCCAGAAAGACGGGCGCGCGCTGCCCGCAACGTCGATAGGAAAGGGTGCTCGCCACGCGCTCTAACCGGACCCGGACAGCCAGCGCGGCAACGTACCGCGCGTCGCCGCCCGCCCGCCGCTACACCCGCCGCTTCCTTCCCTTCCGACTTTTCCCTTTCCTCCCTCTGGGCTCTGCGCCCCCGCCCCCAAACCCGCGCTAGGAACGCGCCTGCGCAGAAGCGCCCTCTCCCTCCTTCCCCGCCCTTCCTTCCCTCCGCTCCTCCTCCGGTGCCCCGCCTTCCTTTCTCTCCGGTAGATTTCACTGAGAGCTGCAGGTTGCGAGCAGTTCAGTTGATTTCCCCACTACCCCGCCCCCATCCTCTTTTTCTCCTCACCCCTCCCATCTCCAGTCCGGTGGAGGATGAAGCGGCTGCAGTGGCCCCGGCTCCAGCAGCGGCACCCGCGGTGGCTGCGGTGGGGGTGGCCGGAACTTGGGTGGTGAGGAGCGGTGGCGGCGGCAGCAGCGGTGGCTGAAGGAGCGGTAGCTGCCCCAGCCGCTTCCCTTCCTCTTTCGTGCAGCCAGGAAGTTTTTCGCTTCTGTGCATGTGTGTGCGTGAGTGTGGGTGTATAAGGTGAAGGTTTGGACGGCATTTGTGCAGGCGTTGGGTTTTTTTGCCCACTTCGCTTCCCGTAACCCGGGCAGCTCAGGAGCCTGGGCTGTGGCCCGAGGAGGGGGCGCGGCGGCGGGCTCTCTCCTTTTGTTGTTGTTTCCTCCGCCTGGGGAACTGAAGGGGGGACGCGCCTGGGTGGGGCGGCTCGGAGCCCGGGCCCGGTGGCCCCTGGGGCTCCCGAGCGAGCAGGGTAAGGCAGAGTAGAGCGGGTTTCAACATGATGGCGGCCGAGGCCGGCAGTGAGGAGGGCGGCCCGGTCACCGCCGGGGCAGCAGGAGGCGGTGCGGCCACGGGCTCAAGTCTCTATCCGGCAGTGTGTCGGGTGAAGATACCCGCGGCCCTGCCGGTGGCAGCTGCGTCCTATACTGGCCTATCGGAGGGCAGAGTGGCCGGGACTCTGGATGGCGGAGCCGCTTTGGGGTCAGGATTTCTAGGAGCCGGGTCTGTGGCGGGGGCACTGGGGGGAGCCGGACTGTCAGGGGGAGGTGCTGCTGCTGGCGGGGCCGGTGCTGCGGCCGCTGCGGGATCTGGCGGGGAGATGGCTTTCACCAAAGGGACCAACTCGTTACCTGCTGAGACCTTCGGGTCAGGAGGCGGATTCCCTCCTCTGCCGCCACCTCCCCAACTGCCCTCTTTGGGCACGGGCCTGGGGACAGTGGACGAAGGTGATTCTCTGGATGGACCAGAATACGAGGAAGAAGAGGTAGCCATCCCGCTCACCGCTCCTCCAACAAACCAGTAAGTTAGATCACTGTTAAGGGATTGGGGAAGCTGACTTCTGGAAAGAAGTGGGAAAACATATATATTCATCTGTCAGCTGTGATTTGTTCTGGAAAAGTTTTGAAGCTTCAGGTTCCATGCGTAGGGATTTAATTCGACCACTTATCTTCCCTACAGGCATACTCCGTGCCGTCTTTGTATATTTAATTGCTCCTCTGGGAAGATGTAAAGTTTTTAAGATGAGAAACATGGGAAAATGTGTGTCAGGTGAGAACCGGATATGGTTCTGCCCCTTCCAAATTGAGGTGGCGTCCTGGGAATCAGCTGAGCTTGCAGCTGCAAGCTGCAAGGCAGCTTGCAAGCTACTAAGGCAGTCGTAGTCTGTTGTATATTGTCAACTTATTTGTGTTCCCAGTTGAAGCTAGAAGGCTAGTGAAAAGCTTTAAATGGGTGTTTAAACGAGTATTGTACTGATACCATTTGAAACATGTCTTGGTCGGAATGTATTGTTTGTTTTGCACTGCAAATCCAAACTTCAGCCTCTTGAAAGCATAGTGATGCAAAAAAATCTTTGGGTCACTTTTGAAAACGTGGGTCAGCGAGAAAGGAAAGGAGTTCTCTGAATTACAAATGTGATTAAAGACCCATACTCCAACAGTATCTGTAACTTGTGCCTTAGAATTCTCGTTTATTAATATTACTGCGATTCTTTAGAGTTGAGACTTTGTAAGTAAGAATATTGAAGTAAAACAAAATTAAGAGTGTGCTTCCCTTCAACACTTTTTGTTGGTGGCCAATACGGTATTCTATTTATAAATTTATTTTGACAGTCTACTGCAAAACATATAGAACAAATGACTTTTTTATATACGGTTAGTCCCTCCCTCTTACTTACTCTATTCATAAGTGAACTTAGGTATGTATTTATATATAAATGTGGACCTTGATGAGAGGGAAACGTTGATGGGGAGTGATGTAGGAGGTAAAACTCGTTTTATAGAACTCTCACATCTGTCCTAATTGACCTTTAGAATTTGACAACCTTGGTATCAGAAGAAAAAAGATTTGGTTCATATGTTGACACTGGAAAATATTTTTTACTTTTTGAGGGGCTTTTTTGGAGGATTTAGAAAGGAATGAAAAAACAAATTAGGAAAAGATTCTGTAATGTTAATCCATTTTTGACTTATGTCTACATCTTTTGATATTCAGGTGGAATTATGTCAGCCATGGTGTAGGGGTGTTGTATTCCTTTTGTATTGTTCAGTAGAGGGGTTTTTTTTTTTTTTTGGTCTAATTTTATTCCAACTTATGTCTATTGCAGACTTACCTGAAGGTGTTCTGGGAGTGATAAAAATTCTAATTTTATACACTGTTTACACTTCCTCAAGCCTTGCTGCAAAAAAATCAGTTAAATATAAAATGCCCACTACATGCTCAGCACTATGGTTGTAATAAACAAAGTACAACCTTTTATACCAAAAGAATACAGTCTTATTGAGTTGAATTAGGCATATTTAGTATATTGCAGTTTTAAATTTTTTTAAAACTAGAATTTATTTTGTACAGCAGTTTTAGGTTCACAGCAAAATTGAGCAGAAAATACAGAGCCTTTCTATTAAATGTTTTAATAATAAACATGAATGACTACTAGGAAAAATTGTTAGGAAGCCATTGTGTGAGATTTTCATTTTTATATGTATTTGAAAATAAAAATATTTGTGTGGCTATGCATATGAGATTTGTTTTATTCCTAAAAAGTTTCCTCCATTTCTACTGTTTTTTAAATTTGCCACTGAGAAATACAAATTTCCCTCTTTTCTTTATCTTAGATATCAACCCAGAGTCACTGGAGGCATTACAGTGTAGTGGTTAAGCGTGCAAATTCTGAAGTTAGACAAGATTTGGGTTGGAATCCTGACTGTACCACTTACTAGCTGTGTGATCTTGGAAAGGTCAGTTTCCCCAACTGTAAAATGGGGATAATAATGGTACTTTCATATGGTCGTTTTTAAGGCTTAATGAGAACCCTGAACGTATTCAGTACGGTGCCTGGTACATACTGAATGTTCAACAAATAAATGATACCCTAAAATAACAATAATACAATTTTTATCTTTACATTGCCTACTAATTCTGTTGGCATAGAGACTCCCTTACTAATAGCTATTTCAGAGAATGTTTGAACTCCAAAGGCATTCAACGATTAATTATATTAAAAATTTTAACTTCATAAGGCTTCCATTAAGTTAAGCAAGTTTAGAGATGAAATTTATGTTTTCAATATATTCAATTTTTAAATGAAAGAAAAATGCCTTAATGACTTGGTTAAATAATGTCAAATTTTTCATAAAAGTATTAAAGAAATGTTTTTGGAATAGATTGGTATTTTATTACTAGTGACTGGTCATCTTACTTATTGATAATATGGTTTGGAGGTTCAGGTCACAGGATTAAGTCTACAACAGTTAGACGAGGGTTCCCTGGTCAAGAGTTTAACCTTGTATCTAGCTTGTTTGGCGCTGTTGGTCACAAGAGAGTCAAATGACAATATGTAGATCTACCAGTGCAAATATAATACTGCTGGTAGTATTTTGTATCTGTTTTTCTGTGTGCATGGTGAATCATTAGTCTCATGTTCATTGTTGCACATTTTCATTAATTTGGTTAAGGCCAGAAAAATTTGTATAATTTTAGCTATAACATTTATTTGAGTATTTTTCTTTCTGCAAGTTTTGAGGAAAAAATGTAAAAAGAAAATTCTTACCATTTATTTTTATGCTACAGAAGATTCTATATCTAAAACTGTGAATTTCTCAAGAGAGAGAAAAGTTAAATGAAAGGAGTTGGTCGCTATTACTCCCTGTAATTTTATGGAGTGGCTTCTCATGGTTCTTGTTATTTCTTTCTCTCTTCTCCAGAGCTGAGGGGCAACAGTAAAGAAGTATTGTTCTCTTAGTCCACCTTCAATTACATACATACACGTGTGATACACACACACACATAACTAAGAGCCTGCATTAGCAGGAGGTCCTTGGGCTGAATCCAACCCACAGATAAATATTGCTTGCTCTTAATATTAGTTGCTACCATTTAAAAATTGGAAGACTTCACCTTAAGAAGTCTTAATTTCCAGTATCGCTTGAGAAATCACAGGTTGCTGTTCCTTCTTGAGAGTACATTGCTAGAGTTGAGTGAAGGTTGTCCCTTTGAGGTGGGTTCTGAGTTCTCCATTTCACTGTAGTTGCCACTAGGCCTTCTTTGCCTTTGATATTATTTGTCTGGCATCTGGCCTAGATCTTATCCTGTACCTAATATTCAGGCTTCTCAGGCCTGAAATTGAAGGAAGAAATAAAGAATATAAATAATACTGTTTTTCCCCATAAAAATCATCTTACTGTCTCTACAACAATAAAATCATTTTTAATTAAGTCAAATAATTATTAAACTTAATGTTAAGACATGTAGTGTTCATTAACTTTGTCACTGATTGCATTATAACTATGGTTGAGTCATTATTTCTTAATAACAGTGGGGGTGAGAATTGCAAAGATTAGTTACGGACAGAGTGGTTGCCTACCAGGACCCAGATTTTGTACCATAACTGTAGTAGAGTGACATAGTAGGTACTTAATTTAAGGGATTACAACAATGAGTAAGATGCCTCTTTTCTCAGTGAGTCTTTTTCTCAGAGAGTTGTAGATCTAGTAGGAAGTTAAGTCAGCCAATTATTATGATTCAGGCTAGATTAAGATAACTATCATAAGTGAAGTATGAGCAAAGGGTCATGGGGGTTAAAAGAGTAAGAAATTTATATAAATAGGATCAGTAAAGTCTGAGGAGAAGTAGCAGGTAAATTTTTCTTGCTGCTTAATTTACATGTATTTTCTGAACATGAGGCTATTGGTTCCTATGTCCTTTGCCTAATGACTTTATCAGGTAAAAAAAAGCATTATAAATTAAATGAGTATAAATTTTTGACTATAGTGAAGTGTCTTCCTCACTGAACTCTTAATTATTTACCTGTGGTCTAGAGGGAGGTTGAAGGAAGTGCCTGTAGTTACTAAGAATACAGAGCACAGCCAAAGGTGAGAATTGGTTTGGATCACTGACAACCAGACAAACATTATTGACAGACAAAAAAGAAAAAGGACAGCAGTAAATTAGGAAGAAGAAAGGGAAAACTAGGAGGGGTGAGAGAGAGGAACAGAGAGGTTGGTGGGGGGTAGGAGGGGTGAGGGAAGTTGGGGGGAAGAGTGAGGAGAGGGGAGAGAGAGAGAAATATGTCTAGCTACTCCAGCCATCCCAGCTGAGACACGAGACTTCTGAGTTAAGAAGCCACCTCGGATGTTCCACTTCTCATCTGTTGGCTATAACATTCAAGATGGCTTCTTAACTCCTAAGTTTGATGCCTCAGCTGGGATAGCTGCAACAAGCTGGGCATAATTCTCTCTGCTGCCCCTCCCACCCTTCCCCACCTTTTCCCACAGTCCCTCACGCTCCCCATCCCCCTCCCTGTAGCCCCTCTCCTTCATTAGCTTGAGCTTCTTCACAGCATGGCAGCTGGGTTCCACGGGGGAGCATTACAAGAGGATGAGCTTCTCTGTGTCAGCATTCTCAAGCCTTTGTGTTCTTCATGTGTGCTAAAGTTCCAGTGACCAGTGCTAATCACATGACCCATTCCACATTTAGTATGAGTTGTTGGTTATGGCTCATTGTTTGAATATGCAAGGGCATCAATACTGGCAGGTGAGATTTCTTGGGGGCATCAAAGTGTATTCATTTACATGTAATACCAGATAATACTAGAATGCTAGTGGTAAGGGAGGGATTAAAGGATGAGTACTTACAATTTCTTTCCTTAGGCTCAGCATGGTAAGTTGTCTTTTGTTTTATTTATTTATTTTTTAAAGATTTTATTATTTTTAGACAGAGGGGAAAGGAGGTAGAAAGAGAAGAAAAGAACACTGACCTGTGAGAGAGAAACATAGATTGGTTGCTTCTCTCATGGGCCTGAT